CTGCTGCTTAACACTTTTTTTATTTAGTTAATTTTGTTATATCCTTAATGTTTCATATCAGGAAACAGTATCAAATGCTGTTTATAGTGATTATAAATCTTACAAAAGATTCAAGTTTTCATGAAATTTGTAAAGGTGAACTATTTGAATCACAATATCATTGGCAAGTGAGGAAATGGCCAGTTTGACATATTATGACAGGATAGACATCTCAAAAGAATAATTTTAATATCAAAGGATTAAGACCCGGCCCTTGAGGAGATTGACAAAACCCTTGAATATTATGCAAAAATGACCTATTTTATCATGCCGAAAAAGTTAAATTTATAATCAGAGCTAGCCTGTGTTGTTCTATTAGAGTTTTGCCGGCAAAATTACTCCAAGAAGCTTCCAGTTAACACTTGATTCATTCTTTGGTCATTCTAAGAATTAGTACTTACCTGTAATTGTAACCTAAATTTTCTAAAATATTTCTTGGCTCTTTTAATGCAAGGTAAAATTCTAAAGAAATCTCTTAAAAAACTATAAAATATATGAATTTTACTCGTTTTTAAAGTGGAGTCACCTTAAATGGCCAGTTATAGCCTTGATTCTCATTTTATAATATCCAAGGACTTTTGTTAGGGCTTTTGTGTTTTTAGTTCACATATTCAAAAGGAAATTGTGCTGTATGTTCTGATTCTTAATAAACCAAAAACCCCGAGACAGACCCAGAATGATGTCACTATTAATGCTCTATTTCACGAATTTGACAATCTGTGAAGCAGGCAGCAAGGCGGGGTAAATGGCAGCAGGCCCTTGAAAGTCATGGTAGGCTAAACAAGCAACAGAAGTAACTTTAAGTGCTTATGGTGATGTGAAAAGGACTTGTAGTAATGAAATGTTACTACAAAGTAATTACAAAGTAATAATCATTTTGATTATTTACAGAGGTAAATCCCTTAAAAGTTCTTTTAATACCTAAAGTACAACACTGAATTGTTAACTGTCTCCAACAACTTGTTTTTGTTTGCTTGTTTTAGTTCATTGGAAAATCTGGAATACTTTGAGCAAAAAAATTGATTTTGTCATGTCTGTCTTTTGGCCATTACATTGCTTGTAGGTATTTATACTTAATTAAGCAACTAGCGTGAAAGCAACTGAAATACATTATTCAGCTTGTTAATACATTTAGCTAAGTGTTAAGTTGATCAAGTTGCATTTATCTTAACTTAGGATTTTAGTTGTCCATGTAATCTCTTTCCCATGAACTTTGTCTTGAGGATTAGTAAAAGTAATAGTAGAAAGTAGACTGAAAGATATTTAAATTAATTATTAAGAACTTATTTTCAATTTTGTTTTATATATTGTTCAGAAAGAGTGCAAATCACCATTGTGAATTTAATATGTATCTGTAATCCTCGTCGCCTTGTAGGTCACTAGTACTAGGTTACTACTTCCAAATTTGGCTTTACTGAATTTAATGTGGACAGCTTTGCTATCAGTCTTGATTGTACTACATCCTGCGGTAGCAGTTACACAGCCTGCTCAATAACTTGTCATGTTTAAAATACTACTATTTTAAAAAATTATTTTATTTGCATTTCCTACTTTATGGCATTTTCCTTTCTTTAGTGGGTCAAGGTGAATATTCTCCGTATAGTGATATCTTGCATAGACTTGAAAAAAGGTGACTTTGAAGCTTCGTCTGGAGTCAGTTCTATGAAAAAAAATGCTCCTATTACTAATAGTTTATTTCATAGTAACAAACAGGAACTTAGAAAATGTCAGTTGTTTAGACCTAGTTGAAGTACAGAAACCATGCATCTTCCTAAACTATAATTTTCCATTACAGTGCTAATAATAGTCACATGTGTACAGCTAGAAATGCTATAGCGCAAATAACATTATTGCGTGTTTCTACTAAATGGTCTGATAATTTTTACTATTTCCCCATGTGTTTCTTAGAAAAACAATTTACACTTAAAGGAATAATCACTTTTCTTAAAACTAACTTAAATTTCAATATATTCTTTAATTTTACCATTGTCAGTGTTAGTTTTGTGTTTTCAGTTTTATTGATTATCTCAATGTAGATTCAGTATACCAAATTTATTGGGTACCTAGTTTGCATGCTTAATAAAGATAGCAGTGGTTTCCTTTCTTTTTCTTTTCCCTCTCACTCTTCTTTAAAAAAAACCTCTTAATGGTTACTTTAAGACAGTACTTATCTTGGGCTCATGAAGAGTTTTATGTTTCTATAAACCCCTCTGGAATTATATGAAAAATTTTATTGTCCACTTTTTTGGGTAGAGTTCTATAACTTTTTAAAAGGTTCCACGTCTCTGAAAGCATTGCTTTAAGGATTTATCCAAAATAGGGAAAATTAACACTTAAACTTATATAATATAGTATTTAAAATGAGGACCCAGATAATCAACCTTGATAATGTTGGGTATGTTACTTAAATACCTATGGCAGAATAATCTTCAAAAAGAAAAACTAAGAAAA